GGGGGGGGGGGGGGGGTAAATACTCGCCGAGATATTTACATTAGAAAAATTGGGTCGTAATGTAATGCGAAACCGGTAGGTCGAGAATCCAACTAATAGACGAAATTTTGATGTAGACAAGAAGAACAAAAGCATTACCATAGCTGGAAAGAGCATCTTAATTAAAATGAGTTAAATTCGGCAAAGTTTGGCTGCGAAGTCGAGCCTCTTCGACAACGACACCTATAGAAAGGCCAAGATTGAGAGCCAACGCCGGATAAAAGAATTAGTAGTGGGAAGAAATCATTTACTGAAAAACCCCTTGTAAGTTTGGAACGAGTATAATTTTGTTTAATCCACTGTACTCGATATTGTTTTAGACAGTGCCGTTATTTACGCAGAACAGTAACAGAATAATGAATTTTGGCGCAAAACTTTTCTATAAATTAACCAATCAATTTGCAAACGTCTGATCACTTGATGGGAGGGGTGTGTGGCATATTAATTACTGGCGTTAAATGGTTCAATTTCTAAAAATGTACCTTTTTCGCGGGTTTTGTTAGCGAAATGGCAAGCGTGAAAAAGGTGCATGGGAAATTTGCGACTTCCACTTTTCATGAAAAACTAGACAACATAAAAGAGGTGGGAATATTGAGACAGCGAGCATGTGATGGAAAGCCGTTAAAAATCACTTGGGTATTTTTTTCTAAAAAGGTATGTTTTCTGACGTTGTGGCAAAAAGATTTCATAACATGAAAAAAGGTGGGAAATTCGTGCTAATTAATCAACCGGCTGGAGTAGAAAAGTGAAATCCTGAAAGTTCTACAAAATTCTGTTTTCAATTTAGTGAAATTTAGTGAAAATCAGAATTACCGAAAGCCACCACTGATTAAAAACCAAGGGTCTTGTAGATGAACTATAGAGTGGAAATTTATGTACATTTATTAGACCTATATAACCAGGAACAGCTGCGAAAAATGCGAAAACAATAGGTCCCGAACCTGCGGCCCTGCGATTCCGGTGCAGCGCTCTAAACTGAGCTACAGAGGCCAGTTGTCAAGCTCTGTATATATACTAGGGTACTGCCATGTATATAGCTTACCGGGAGTAAATCAGTATCAATATTTTGTTGGCATCAAACTCAATTGCCAATAATATAATAGTTGAAGGGTCTTGTAGATGGAAGTTATTGAGTGGAACTGGTGTATATACATTTATTAGATGTATTATATACATTTATTACATTTATTAGATATACCAAAGGCGTTTTCCTTTCGCGGTTGGGCATCGCGATTTTTCAGTCGTGATACGATTAAAAGCGCTGCGTTGTTGTGAATAAAGTGCGAATAATTGTGAATAAAGTTTCGAGGTCCGGCGTTTTAACAGGGGCGGCGCTTAAACAAGTAAATACATCAACACTGACGGGCATAGTCCCAACTGTCAAGCTTGCTATTGTCGCTGGGTTTCGACACTGTTTCGCCAATTTCCGTCGTAGGACACGTGCACAATGGAATATTCCACTGATCTATAAGCATATATGGACAAGGCATCTATAAGCATATATGGAAAGGACACCCTAGGTTTCTTTGAAACTGAGTGAATAAACAGAAGTCCTCATTTTCTGCTATAAGAGTTGTTTAATTAATCTGCAGCGTTGCGTGGGTTGGATATTTGCGTTTGCTTAATTTGGGTGTAGTTTCCTGTAGGGGGTGTGCGCACGTAATAATAGATAAGCTGACGTCACGAAAACCTGTACTATACATCAACCTACTTTAACCAAATATATTGTTCTTCAGACTCTGTTGTGAGTATGTCAGTCTAAGCAGTAGTATCAGCGCGTTACAAATCCACACGCAACACTGAATGCCTGTTGTAAAGAACAAGAAATTCGGTCCCAGATCGTCCCAAACCCACCCAGTACTCGGAGAAGCGGACGTTGGAATGTGAAACGCAACTGGAACAATTCATATAAACATAAGTGTCATCAAAGGTAAAATTGATTAGCCTTCGCTTATCGGACGGCAAATGTTACTGATTTATGAGACAGACGGTTTCAAAAGCCCCAATAAGAATAGGAAAAAGTGAAACAACAGAACTCTTCCAATCCAAGCACCAACACAAAAACTGGACTCAATGAGATACTGGACAATTTTCAACACAAATTTACAGGAATCGGAAAAGCGATGCGTGGCGGAGAAGAAATCCAGACCAAAATTCCAATGAAACTTATGCCAAATAAAGATGATGCCATGCAAATCACGACGAGCACCATATCAGCTAACAGGACCATGAAATGTCTAGAAGACGAATACCAGGAAATATAATTAAAACCGAGACATTATCGAGCCAGTACAAGAACACGAAGCTATCATGCAGTGTTGGTGTTGACCACTCGTAGTACAATCAAAGCAGAACAATCCGAAAGACATTCGTGCATGTCTCGACCTCAGGAATCAGGATGAATGCACAAATAGCGGCGAAATTAATTCTATATGGCATTCCTCAAGTTCTTAACAACCATGACGACATAATGATTGGACTAGGACTTGACTGGCAAGACCACAATGCCAAACTGAAAGCCACCCTTCGTAATTCAACGAATCGAAGATCACAACCTTACACTAGGAAAGGAGAACCACAATGGATTTCCACGGGCACATCTTTACCGCTGAAGGTCTAGCTATACGACCGCGATCGCAGTCAAAATCCAAGAATGCAAGCCACCAACGATCATTCCTACAAATGTTACCTGTCACGTTACATTAGCAACTCCTCAATCAAATTGCAAGCCGTTCGGAACCTTTATACGAAGATTAATGAGAGACAACTGGAAGTTCGTATGGACAACGAGCAACAAACTGCATTTGAAGACATAAAGAAAGCAATCACGACTATATAAGCACCATGCAGTCCTCATTCCCTATCATCCAGAGTACGAGGCAGCCCTACAGAACTTGGAGGCGGTCTTTTCAGAAGACGCAGCATGGTTACCAACTGGCAGTAATTAAAGTGACTTTGTGTCGTTCTTTACAGTCAAACTGTTCATAAAACTGCAATTCCCATAAATTGTTAATAATTAATATTTTTAAAAGTGTTTTTGTAATATGTATATGTATATGTAATATTGTAATATTATAATAAAGCATTTGTAAATTCTGAACGCTGATTGGCTAAGAGCCGTGTTGATATAACTCAATGTCAACACGGGAAATTTACCGCCGCTTGTAAACACGAAAATTTTTCTTATCCTTCGGGCTTTTGACATTGCTATATTATAAAAAAAATAAAAAACATTTTTTCCGTATTGATATATAGTTATATCAACACTCGTGGAAGTTGGGAAAACTCGAAATTGTATGAAAACACTCCGCCCTTTGGGCGTCGTGTTTCCATACAATTTCTCGTTTTCCCAATTCCACTCGTGTTGATATAACTGTATATCAACACGGAAAATGTTTTATATTTGTTAAATGTAATTCTTTGCCTTTGGTGGGACTTAATTAGGAACTTAATCTTACGTTCTGTTGTACTGACCATCAATCATACCGTGATTCATACGATTGTAAAGTTAGCTATATACTAATTAAAAAAAAATAATAATAATCGTTTCTGATGATGACTCGCTGTATACCGTATATATTTTTTTCTAGGTCTTTAACGAGCTGGACGCTTGCCCAACTGGCCTGAACTACTACAAAATTGAAGCTGTATGTAGACTGTGCTGCATAGCCACAGGCTGTACTTCAACAACACCGAAAGTGATATGTAAACAATGTATAAAGTACTATCGTAAGGTACCGGTCATTAATTACAGGGGGGGGGGGGCTGGTGGAAATGAAAAATTAGATGCTAAAATTTTGTTACCCCCCTCCCTAGAGGATAACACAATTATACTTGACCCACCCCCTCCCCCAACATGCAAATAACAAAAGGCACATTGATAATTTAAAGTTCTTATAAAGTGAAGTCACATTTAATCATACTGCCCTATCACAGTTGCCAACATTGGGAATAAAACATCTGTGAGATTTTGCTTTGGGAGTCCCTCGGCGGAAAAATTTGAAAATATGGAGTCTCTAGATCGTTGGAAATGGCATTTTCAGAGTCTTCTATACCTTATAAACACAACTTTTGGTAGCTTTTCTTTAGATATACAAAACCATATTGTTGAATACCCACGAGTACGAGGTTACATGAAGTGATGTTTTGATTATCTATTTTTGGCTTAATGGCGTGAATCTTATCAGAAGAAAAAAGTTTTCGGCAATTTGACGCAAATGAAGTCGCTCTTAATAGTTAAACTGATGCAACAAAGCCAACATATTTAAGAACCATGCAGTTGGGTTATTTTCGAAATCCGTGAGATATTAACAAGCTGTGAGCTCACTGTGAGGTTTTAGTAAAATCGGTGATGCTCATGGTGGATCCGTGAGAGTTGGCAACTATGCCTATATATACATGTATCGTAATTCATACATTTGGAACACTGTTCTGGAACGATATAAAATGGAGTGCACGCGGTGTTCTGGAACAGTGTTGAGTTTATATATATGCATACAACCATGTATAGTAATACTACATTAATTAGTTATTCGCATAATAAAGAGTATAATGATTTGCTGTTATTTGTATATCTAAGTATGCTTTTGCAACGTTTTTACTGACGTTGATTTTCCCCAACCCTGGCGTAAAAATAGCATATAATAATTATATGTTGATATATAGCGGTTAATTAACCCTTCAAAATAACGTTCTATGCAGTGTGCATTGGATACACAAAATATATGTCGCCTCCATTTCTAATCACGTGAAAATAGGCAGTGTCACGTGTCTGTTCTGGCTACCCCTATTCGAAAATCGGGGTAGTCAGAATAGTTCAGAAAAGTCATGTGACTGTCTTCTGTTCCATTCCATTAGTGTTCCGAAAATCCGGAGTACTCCGAACAGTAAATGGAGCAGCTTGCAGTTCTAGTCATGCACGTGGATTTTCCCCAGATTTGGGGAAAGGCCTCTGATTGGACAGTGCTTTATTTGAATAATTTATGACAAATGAAGCTATTTCATTGGTTAATTGATAATTAGCATGCGTTTAAATTCAGAGATTTCCTTCGGGGCATACAAAGGTTTGAAAGACTTGAAATATAATCCGAAAAACGATACACAAGAAATATGTTGCATATATTTCACGATGAAGAGATTTGTTTTGAATGCGAACAGTGCTGAACGATGATCATATATAGCCAGAGTAGCCAGCAAGTCCGGTGTACAAGCTCAGTTCTTGGCGGCATATAAATATAAACACAACTGGTTATTCAAAAGGTGCATTTTAAAGTAATTAAAAGTTAACTGGCCAAGTCACAAGCGGCCCAATCTCTGAACGTCCTATATATTTTGAATATTTAACCGTTATAATATATTTTAAAATAACAAAATAATTCAAAAAATATTAACAATATATGTAAAAAAATATATCTCACTTGTTCATAGAATGCATTTGTTGTGTTTCTGAGTCTAGTTGATGCGATTGCTTTAGCTACGTTTTCGTCGTACTTGAACGGTCGTCAGTACTGGCACTGGACGACATGGCCATATAGGACATAAATAACTACAAGGCTAGCCACTTATCTGATATACTCTCCGACATCGAGTGCTGTCCAATATCTCGCCTCAAAATTGTCGCAGAGCAATAAGTTTCACATCGCCTAATAGTATGACAACATGAGCTCCACCTTTGAATTTACTATATGAGTAAATTCTTAAACACGTCCGAATTTATCATTATGATAAATTCTTTATCATTATGATAAATTCTTTATCATTATGATAAATTCTTTATCATTATGATAAATTCTTTATCATTATGATAAATTCTTTATCATTATGATAAATTCGTTTTTCAAATAAAAATAGTTTTTAAAAAAGTTTTAAAAAAGTTTTAAAAGAGTTTTAAAAAGCAAAAAAATTTTAAAAAGTTAGATTTTTAAAACAGTTAAAAAAGTTAAAAAAATTTAAAAAGTTAGGGTTAGGGGTTAGGGGTTAGTGGTTCGGGCTTAGTGCATGGTTATGGTTGGGGTTGAGGTTAGGGTTAGTGTTAGGTGCCGCGAATTTATTATTATGAAAAATTCAAAATTTGCCGCGAATTTATCATAATGATAAATTCGGACGTGTTTAAGAATTTACTCATATAGTAAATTCAAAGGTGGAGTTCATGCTGTAGTATGAACGTTCCTCTTTCGAAAGAAGTTGGTTTGTTCATCATTGCGGCAATTCCCGCGACACACGACGAACTTTGTTTGTCTAAAATTCAAAATTAAATTTTCGACAGAACCGTTCACTACATGATCGTTGCCACGAGAGCGGCTCAGCAACCTGGACTCCTCGTTCGAAAACACTCCGCCAGGGGGGGGGGAGTATCTGCACTGGAATGAGGGGCCTTTCAAAACAACACGATAAAAAACACGATATAAACAATAAGACATACGGTTGAACGAAGTCAAGTTCAATAGTTTAAAAATCCTTATGTCTTTAAAAATCCTTAAAAATCCTAGCGCCACCCCTGAATTCCGTTTGCGTTCTCATAGTCCTTTAAAGACATTAAAATGTCTTTGGGTGACATTCTGATAGGTTTTGCGGTTTTGAACCTATTGTATATATTGCGAATTTCCTCCTCAAGAAGGTCAACAAACTTTTTGGTAACGTCTTCTACCTCATACTGTTTGGTATAGTGTACCAGCTTGGGTTTATAGGTGGAATTGTCGAAACACTTTTGACTTAACATAGTAGCAAAATCCGCTGGGATTATGCTTTTGGTATTGGATGGTGCTTGACCTGTTCGGGTTTTGTTCCACTGTGTTTAACCCTTCTTTATTTCATGATTAAGTTGCTTTCTTTTGTTATTCAAGACCTTGTATCTAGCGTAATTACTCGTCCATCTGAAATCCCGGGGAGGGATTTGATTTTCAGCAGGGAAGAACGGGGCTGATGTATGAATTTGAATTGCTCAATACACACATGAGGAGGTATATATCTAGTTAAATACCTTATTTAAAACAGGTATTTATCTAGATAAATACCTCATTAAACTATTCATGAGGTATTTAACTAGATATATATATACCTCATGAATAGTTTGATGAGGTATACAGGGTGTCTCAAAAAAACCCAAAATTATTGTAATAACGTATTGTTCGAATTTCAATGCCGTAACACAAAGGATTTTGACAGGGTGATTAATTTGTTTTAAAACATTAAAATATCTTTGTAAAGTGAACGTTTGTTTGCTCATGGGAATTTAAAAATGCTTCGTAAATTGTAATATGCGTAATATGCATTCGTGGGTTTAGTACTTTATGCCTGACATAACAAGTTTACGCTGAGTATTACCATTCATTATAGCAGTTATGTCAATCTTTTATGCACTCGTGGGATTAACTTAGTGCTAGGGCATTGAATATCGAACAATACGTCAATTTCAATGATTTTGGGTTTTTTTTAGACACCCTGTATATCTAGATAAATACCTCATTTAAACTGTACTCATGATGTGCTCATGATGTACTTATCTTGATATATAAGTACCGAATGAGAGGTTAGTCTCTTTCCAACTCGATAAACGCTGTACCGCCTCAAGTCGAGAAAGAGACAACAGCCGTGTACCTCAGAGTCCGTCAAAACTCTACTATTAGGTAAGAGTATTTATCGATTTTTATTAAAAGCCCAATAGGGCAACACAATATATACAATATATATATATACACACACAATATACACAATATATATCACATATCCCCTCGTTGCCTCAAAATAACCTATACATATACATATACATCCCTCGGGCCTACGGCGGCCCGAGGGATGTATATGACTAAATACCTCCGCCCTCGGTGTTTAACGGCTCTAACATATAGCACTCAAAGTCTGCATAAATGGCGAACGGAATGGTTTGTGTTTTCCCATAATTTTCGAACTTTGTAGTACTACCGGGTTCCGGATACTCATGCCTCTGATAATCATTGTCCGAACATAACTCCAGATGCTTTTCTAGAAGCTCATCCGAACCAAATGCGTTGAGGCAACGGTTGCAGATGTGCTTTCTGCGCTTTCCGAAAGTCTCGCGACATCCCTCGTGCATGGATCACGCAATCCTGCACGGAAAACCATTCGGTATTCCTTTATTACAAGTGCGCAATGCATTACTGGGTCAACAAAGGCCAAAACGCGACCCCTCAATTTTCAACACGACGAAACCTAGACTCGAGTTCTCCTGGAGCACGGGTAATAAACTAACACGAGCTAAAATAATTAGTTTGTTAATTTACTTAAATTATTAAAATGTAAAGTACCCTCAAGCTTTCACCCTCGAATTTCTACCCTTGACAATAAAAACCCCCATAAAATATCTGTAAAGACTGTAAAATACTACCCTCGAACATTTGATCCTCCACATTGGACCCTCGATACTCGGCACTTGACAAAAACCTAAACTCGTTATACACAGTGCTCATATAATGGATAATGATGAATATGATGACAGGCCTTTTACACTGCACTATGTGAAGTGGTTACGCTGTAGTTCCCCCGCATAAGAAGTACCTCTATAATGCAGGAAATGCCGCTTCCCAAAATTCATTGTGAATCAAAAATATTCAAGCCTGCGTGCAGCCTGCGAAAAGTCAGGCTGCACGTATAGACTACAAAATATTAAGTTGCCCTCCACTTCCTCCCCGGCGGCGCCACTGCGAGCGAAGCGAATAACGGCAAACTTCGGCACTGTGATTGGTTAGCGAAAAAGTTCGCCTCGAAAACGTTGGATCGGTTTTTCTGTTAACCAATCGCTATGTCAAATTTGTTTTCGAGCAAACAAATTCGCCTAATGGAAAATTAATTCCTGTGGTTGCTCTGTAGTATTAATTTCACTTTATATATACCAACTTCAAGTAGAGCAATATATACAAATTTTGTTGCTATATACTAGCTATGTTACCATGCCACTTACAATAGTTAAAACATGGTAGGGTTGTCCAGTCTTCCGCCTCCACCATGACAAGACCTGGCCATGGGTCTCCTTGCATCATCATAATAAATTCTTCCATTCCTGATAAACGGGTTCCTTGCATCGTCATGTTAAATTCTTCCATTCCTGACAAACAGGTTTGTTGAGTCATGATGATATGTTGATATTTAATATCTGATGACTCGACAGTAGGTTTTAATTCTAAAATCACGTGAGATGGTGGCTAAAAATAACCATCGATGAAATAACGGGAAAATAACTTCATCGGATTATGAGAAAATATAACTTCCAACAGCCGAATGATTCGTTATGATTGTGAAAAAATGGTAAAATTAGCCGATATCCAATGTTATTTCTCTAGACTCTAGCACTCAATTGCATGAAACAACTTCAGTAAAACGAATTTTCTCGGCACTATACAACATCAAATTCCAGCAGCTTGTGCCAATGGGGGATTCCCAAAACTTTATATATTTAATACGTGTACGTGCAGCTGCGACTTGCTGTATCGGCGCTTTCCGTCAATTACAGGTCAATTACACCATTAACTGTGATTAACATGATAAAAACAATTCACAAGACTATTAAGAATATTGCAAGGCACGCACTTTTCGTTCCCACGCAGCAGAGAAGATCCTAGATAGTGTAGATTTTCAATAACAGAAATTTATATCATGCGAAATATCGCGAAAAGCTAAAAATGACTCATGAAACACAACCTGATCTTGGGAATATAAAGTCAAGACAATTTTGACATTACTTGTTGTATGTACCACGTCAATGGAGACCTTTTAAGGAAAAGATTGATAAGGCCAAATAAAAAAAATACTTGGTTAGCGTCACACTCTCACAAATTTTCAGAGGTGGGCGGGCGTGTTTTTTAAAATTTTTACTCGTTTTTTAATTTTTTAATAGTATTTTTTGGGGGGATGGGGCGGTTTTTCCACCATATCGGTGAAATTTTTTGTACTGATGTTGCGAAGGCCGCCATTTTGCTATGAGAACCTTGTATACCCAAGCCCACGCGCTCCTATATAGATCAGTATATAGCGCGAAGGTTTGAGCATGAGAAAAATGTCAAATATTAAACTGTTTTAAGCTGTAAAACGAAGAGATTTACATAAAAAAAATCAGAGGCGGCAGAAATCGAGAGGCGGGCGGTGACGCTAACCAAGTTTTTTTTTTTAGTTGGCCTAACCTTAACTTTGTACATGAGCTAATTGTTGAATTAACTCAAAACACGATTTGTAGTTTGCTGTTTGCGCTTGGCAGTCTGCATGCCGTAAACGTCAATCTCTAATGTCAATTTTGATGCAATAAGCTGAAGAAGCTTCCTATTAGTCCCTATATTACCAATTGGATCATCAATTTCCTAACCAATAGGTATCAACGAGTCGTTGTTGATGGCGTTAAAACAGAATATTTGCCTATAAATCGTGGAGTTCCTCAAGGAACAGTATTAGGTCCAATACTGTTTTCTATAATGATTAATGATATCCGCAGATATCTTGCAGATGACATAAATCTTGGGAGTTGGGATTAAGGTCACAGATGATAGTGACGCCTCTTATATGGAAACAAACAATATTATCAACTGGGCGGAAATAAATCGCATGAAACTTAACTATAAAAATACGTGGGAGATGGTCATTCGCGGCAAGATAACCCGGCCACTTCCTGCGCCTCTGCCTATGATTGTTCGTAAAAGTTGGTTGAAGATACTTGGTGTAACGTTTCAAGAGAATCCTTCCATGTGGGCATGCATGCATCTAGATGAATTAATGAGTGAAGCCTGTAGCAGAATGTACATTATTCGGATTTGCAAATACTACGGGTTTTCTAGGAAAGAGCTGGATCTTCTGTTCCATAGTCTTATTTTATCAATATTAGTTTTTGGTATAGAGGTCTGGGGATGTGCGTTGTATTCTAAGTATCTTAGTCAAGTAGATAAAGTTTTAAAACGTGCATATAAGTATGGATATCTTATGTATCAGGTATCGATTGTTGATATATTAAACAATAAAGACAGAGATTTATGGGAGAAAATAACTACGGATCCCAACCATGCCCTGCAAGTTTTGCTGCCTCCTAGTCGTCAATTAGAATTACGCAATCGCGGACATGAGTATGAACTACCGAGAGTTCGAACAGAAAGGTTTAAAAGAGTGTTCGTTAATAGATGTCTTTTTAACTTCATATGATATTTTTTAAATTAGAAATTAACTTCTTAGGAACTACATTAAACATTATAATAATGGTATTTTAGCTCTATTGATGAATAATATCAATACTAATACAGTAATTAGTATAATAATTATTGATAAGTAAGTGCAAATTGTAAGCCCGCACGTTTGTTGTGAGGTGTTGCTTTTAATATTTTAATAAAGATTTATACATAAAATGGCAAATTGCCAGGCCCGCATCGGGCGTTGTGAAAACCTAGAATGCCGGAATATCACGGAATATGGCGGAATATGGCGGAATATCACGGAATATGGCGGAATATCACGAAATATCACGAAATATGACGGAATATCACGGAATATCATGACATTTTCCCGGAATATACCGGAACATCACGATATTCTCCGATGGTAGCCATGCGACTGTTTATAAACATGGACGTCTGACAACATATTTTCACAAAGGTGATGGATCTTTCCATTTTGACGGTAAGTAACAAGCAATAACTCTATACTGGAAGTTTTATATGTTGTTTATATGATTATTACGAGTGTTGACCAAAAATTTGGATTAATATGATTAATTCCTCCTGAGTATAATCACAGAGGAAGTATATATCTTTACTCTTTGGTATAATTGACGTGACGCGCGTGGCGCGCGAGCGGCGAGTCAAATCGCACCGCAAAACCATCAATCGTTTTACCTTATTTCTACGACTTTGTGGGTTGGAAATACTTGGAATCACACAAGAATTGTGGTTAAAGTACTTGCCTCTGGGAAGGTGAAGTTGATTTGGTAAAATTTTGAATATTTATGCTTTATTTTGTTGGATTATTTGTAAAATTGAAAGGAATTTTGCAATATATTTTGAGCACGCGCAAGTTGACGGTTGATTTTGGCGTGTGCATACGGGCTACGTGATACAAGGAACGTTATTACGAACTGCGTTTGATTCCAGAGCGTGCGGCAAACAAACAACGTACGTGAGCAAACGATCATATACGTCATTACACGTGCCATAACGGTCATCTATTAGAACAATCATAAGAACAATTGGTGATTTAATTAGAACATTTTGGGAAATAAGAAGTATAAAAATGCGTAAAACCTGCCAATCCTTTGCCATCTCGGCATCATTTTGGATGGTGTGTCTCGTGGTATCTCTCTGGCTGTCAACAAGATCTAAACCTGTGTTCATTTCCATCAACGAGAGACTAACGGCTGATGATTTCTCCGTTCTCCAGAATTAACATCAATACCTGAACGTTTTTGCAACCTATGGATTTCTACACGAGACAGAATTAGAAGAAAATCATCCTTTCCCTCCAACCACCGCTATGGTCTTCAGTTTAACATCCAAAACAATAATGTCCATCTACTCTTGTGTATTCTTCTTGCTGGTGACATCGCAACCAATCCTGGTCCTGCTCCTCCATCTAAACAACTTCCCATCAAATGTGCCACAATAAACGCCAGAAGTTTGAAAAGCATCCACAAAAAGATGTGACCACTAATTCGATCATCTGCAATCTTCAAAGATTTCAAGACTTCGTTTACGGAGAAAATTTGGATGTCGTATGTGTAGATGAGACATGGCTCAATGAAAACATAAGTAACTCTGAGATCTTAAATTCTGACTATCACATCTTCAGGAAAGACAGAGTTGGACGAAATGGCGGCGGGGTCTTGGTTGCAATCAAATCAAGTTCGTTTAGCTCGTTTTAAATTCAGTGGCGTGCTGGGTACTATTTTTCTGGGGGGGGGGGGCAGTCAGCTATCAACCAATATGCGCCCCTATGTGACGCTTGATAAACGAGGGCCGAAGGCAATTTTAAATTTAGAGTCTCTGAAATGCCATTTCCTGGACTTTGGGGGAAGATTTGACAGAAATCTGATGGTCAGGAAACGAGATTATAACGTATCGAAATTTGCAATTTGATTAGAATTTTGTAGTAGTACTTGAATTAGTACGGTATCAGTTTTACTATAAATCTTTATTTTAGATCACTCGTTGAGTCACTCGTTGAGTATATTTGTATAAAATATTTTGATTTATATTAAACGCCGACTTTATTGATACGAATCTGTCATGTTTTTTTGTCAAAAAATACAAAAAGAGTTAATACTATACAGTATATCACTTGATAGTTAGTACTATCATAGACAATCCAGAAGACAGGGACTGGAAACGCCTAATGTTTTGCGCGTGCCATCCGTGATGTGCTTGCGTGACGCTTGTGCCATGTAACTTGAATGGCCTGCTGCTTCGAAAACGAATAAAACGATAGATTGTGGACCGGTACTTATCTGCTGTTTTACAGCTCTTTATATATCTACATATATGTACATAAATAATCTACACCGAAAAGGGAGTTAGGTATATCACATTGTGTGTAAAGTTTATAAAACGGATCTGCTTATTCAGGGACGAGTGCAAAGAATTTTCGAGCTTGTTCGAAAATTTTGATTTCCAATTTGGGGTGGACTTTCAGGCAAGATTCAGGTTTGTTTGCGTACTTTAGTTTTCTTTAATTAAATTTACGTATATTTATTCAGTTTTGCTTCACTGTAATTACATTATATAAATTGATTGAAGTTATCTTTTCGAAGTTTTCCTTGATCTGTATTTTAGAATTTGAATTTGGCCATTTCCGTTTAATTAATATACCTTCCATTTTATTGACAACAAATCCTTTCTTTCTCGAAAACCCTTTTCGGTAAGGCAGCCATTATTAAAAAGAAATAAAATCAAGGTTTCAGTTATTTTTAACGGTGAGTTTTGTATGTTTAACACTCTTAACTTTCGACAATGCCGACAAGAATGCCAATGGCGACTTTTTTGCTGTCAAAAACATTTAATACGCAATCATTAAAAGGTGATTTTTGCCTTTGTTTGACCCAATATAAGTTTAAAAAACCGGATAAATGCATCGACAGGTCTATATTTGTTTTAAATATATATAAATTTCAAACCCTGAACTTTATTTAAACTGTAGTTGCTGGGTTCGAAGTGAGTACAAACTTTGCCGGACAGCGACAACAATGCCAATTAGTCTAGGACCTGTATATGAGTTTGTATGCATTTCATTTAGGACAGATAATCTCAACTGTTTTAGGGCAAGTTGACCATAACGGTCAACATGGTAACGCTGCCCGAACCCCAATCCGGGACGAAACGTCCGAAACTGACCACACCCAAAAACGACGCTTTCGTCATACTGCTATCTACCAAACCATAAAAGCTTTGCCTATTCTGAGGTGCTTATATGGTTTAGAGATGGTACTTTTGGGGGTGATCATTGGTAAGTGTGAAATGCCTAGCACTAATATTGCACAAGAAAATGACTATGCAATAATCATAGTTAAACGTCAATTTGTGGCTTGCAACTTCAGATAAACAGCAGTGGACTTACATTACCTTTTTCCCTAAATCTTTTTTATAGAAACATAATTGGTACTTATTTAAATATATTATCACTGGTTTGGTGTAAAATAGTTAATATTTTCTGACCGAAATAATAATTTGAAATGTGCCTACCTCCTGCAAATGGACGTATTTGGCCAAGTTCTCCACTTTACTCCGCTGTTTATCGGCGATCTCGTCGACATCCTACAAAAAATGTAAATCATCTCAGACATAATTGTATCAAGAACATTTTAAACAAGTTTCAACTAGGTTTCAAGTAGATCATACCTGTTTAACCATCGACAAGGTAAATCCACAACTTTGTCCAAATTCGGCGCCATGTTGTCATCCCATGTCGGTTGTCAACAATTCAGCCTTATTACTCTTCCATCCAAGCCATTTCCATTCCACTAATAATAAATTTAACCCTTTATAACGGTAGGAAACTAAAAAATCTAAACAAAATATAAGAAATGCGCCATTTTATCACACTGTAAAGTGTTGTTTACGAGTCCTTCGAAACATTTCGTACAAATCTCGCGTGGTTTAGCAACAGGGACTTGGCAGGGGGGGGGGGAGGGGTAGAGACTTGAAAAATGAAAGGAAAGCCCACACAGTATCCAACAATCAACATTTAATTTGAATGACTTTTTCATATTAATAAATAATAATATATACATATTTGTCGCTACAGGAAATAAAACAAACGTTTGTATGATTGTATTTAGCTTTTAGTCTATTTCACGCAGCGTTCTTCTACCTTCGTGAAATAGTTCACTCCTTCCTGTCACGTCCCTGTTACTTTGTCACGCGATATTTGTACGGAATGTTTTGAAAGACTCGTGAGCAAAATTTTACAGGGTGATAAAATGGCGCATTTCTTATATTTTGTTTAGATTTTTTAGTTTCCTACCGTTATAAACAGCGGCGGCGGAACAGATTTCATTCTGGGGGGGGGCTAAAAAATTTTTCCGTGACCCCCCCCCCCGTCGCCAAAAAATTTTCGGTCAGTGTACCATTTTAGGGGTACAAAATTTTTTCAGGACATACAACAAAAATTTTTTCCGGAAATACACAATTTTTAAACAAAATAATGCAAATTTTTCGCCTGATACCTAAATTTTCAAAAAATAGCCTAAATGTTTCCTTAATTATCAAAATTTTTCGAGAAAAAACTAATTTTTTTGGGGGGGCTAAGCCCCCCCACTTTTACTTCTGGGGGGGCTTTAGCCCCCTAGCCCCCCAGTTCCGCCGCCCCTGGTTATAAAGGGTTAAATTTATTATTAGTGGAATGGAAATGGCTTGGATGGAAGAGTATTAACAAGGCCGAATTGTTGACAACCGACATGGGATGACAAAATGGCGCCGAATTTGGACAAAGTTGTGGATTTACCTTGTCGATGGTTAAACAGGTATGATCTACTTGAAACCAAGTTGAAACTTGTTTAAAATGTTCTTGATACCATTATGTCTGAGATGATTTACATTTTTTGTAGGATGTCGATGAGATCGCCGATAAACAGTGGAGTAAAGTGGAGAACTTGGCCAAATATGTCCATTTGCAGGAGGTAGGCACATTTCAAATTATTATTTCGGTCAGAAAATATTAAC